TTGATCATCATGTTATGGCAACTTGGACAAGTTTCTTTCACCGTTATAGAAAGCGCTGCCAAAGTTAGGAGTGGTTATGAAAAGTAACATAAACTTTTCATGAACATGGAAAACACTTGCATACCCTATCCAGAGCCGAATTTTATAATTTCGTCAAAATTCCTTGATGAGGAGCCCTTCGTATTAAATACCATTACACGTTGCCATGATCATTTAATTATATACATAATATATAATTCCCAGTGGTTGAAGGCGTTATATCATTTGCAGAAATTGGAATGGATTCAAGTTATTTCCTGATTCAAGTTATTTCCTGATTCAAGTTATTTCCTTTTTGATTCTGTGGTTTGGTCAAAGATATGACCTAGTGCTTATGGAGACACCAATATTTAAGTAGAAATTTTATCTTTTTCAATATATATATATATATATATATATATATATATATATCAAAGCAATTATAACTTCTTGGTGAGTATACATAGAGTTATTAGGATAATTTTAAGTTATATTCTTAATCTTAGTCGTTGATCTAGATACATTTCGCTTATGTACGTAATTGATAAATTAAAGTCATTATATACACTAGGGATCAACAGTTAAAACCAAATGCAAAACATCTTATTTATACACCGGTATAAATTATTCCTATACCATATGTTATTTTGATAATTTTTTTTATTCTCTTTCTTTAGCAACAAATGTCTATAGTACTTTTATTTACGCTATCTTTCCTCATTCTTTATCGGTTAATGTCCGAGGTTGATAGGTTTTATTTGGTTTCCTTTCGATTGCTAACTTGGTTGTTCAGAAAAATTTATTGTCAAATAATAGTTATCTGAACTTGCTATTATCTAGTATATTAATTATATGGTGACGACTGACGACTAAAGTTTTTCTTCTTCTCTCTCTTCTCAAAAGTAAGAATTCGAAGCAGCTTGATATTGTTGTATTTATGTTTTGTTTAATTTAAAATATTTCATAATCGTTTAAAAAATTTATATCAAGATCGAAATGGGTCAAAGAATATCCCGATCAAACAGAAGGGGCAACAATAAAAATTAGAAAGAAAAAATGAAAAGAATAAAGAAGGAAAGAACTTTGTAAAGAAGTGCAATGTAGGAAAGAATAAAATGAAATCAGAACGTCTGGTCAATTACATTCAATAAAAAAAATCCCATAGCTAGATCTCAGTATTTTTAATTAATTAAATGCCGAAACAAGCATTTTTCAAACGATATATAATTTGAATCTTGAATATTTTTTACAATGGGCTAAGGGTAAGGGACATGTGATGTGTAAAACAAAGTTATTTATATTGGCTTTTCTGTTTATCATCATATTACTGGACTTAATTTTAATTTATAAACAGAGTTTTTTCACTTAATTAATGTATCGGTAATATTTCTTCAAATGAGTTGACATATTTATATAAGATATGAAATGGGCTTATATTATTGACACTATTTTGTCATATTTTGGATTAGTTAATTTAATTCTTTGAATAGAAAATTCATTTTCCCATACAATTAATTTTGATTCAATTTAAATTTCACATTATATAATGCATTGTGTGTTACCCCAGTGATTTTTTTTTTTTAAAAAAAATCCTATAATGTTAACAAACCAAAAAATAAATAAAATCATTGCATATTTCATAAAAATTAAATTCATCAATGTATCACTTTATAATAGTGGGCGGTGGTAGTGTGCCATTTATTCATAAAAAACCCTCCTGACCTAACTGCATGAGCGTTGGTCCATATGAGAGTGTCATGTGACCACCGCAAACTCAACTTCCTACTCCCTCTAATAATTCATCATTATTTAATAAATATGCTTGAGCGTTTATAAATAAGAACTTTGGCTAAAACACAATTGTTTGTTTTCCTCTTTTCAGTTTAATTTATTCCCTGCACGTACATATCATTTTGGGACTTTTATAATATGATTGAATAAGACACACAAGATACAATTTAGAGCAAAGAGAAAAACTTGGTGTTATAATTAAATGAATAATTTGATTATGATAATGTAATTAATTAACTAGAGAAAACCTTGGATTGTTAAATAATATTTGTGTTGCCTGGGATCCTACACACACCCAGAGTATACTATATTTTGCATTATTCATTTGAATAACTCCGTTAGTTCAAAATACAACAATCACATGGAGCTGGTAAAAGAATTTATAGTGGCTTTGAATTTTCCCTTTTTAATCTCGTGACCCCCCATATAAAGTTCCATAGAACTTATCCCCAATCACATGCAATGTTAACGTGGTTGGCGAAGCATGAATAATTCTTTCACGTGCATAAAAAACCAAGCTACAAAACTTCAAACACTCAAAGAAAAGAAAAAGAACAAGAAACTTAACTTGTACGTATACACTGATACACCCATTGAGTTTTGTGCTTTTAAGATCGGTGAACCACAAGCCATGGAAGGGGTAGCTAAAAATAAATAAAATAATAATACGTAGTAATAAAAAAAAAAAAAATACCAGTTTATTGTGTATAGATATTCTAAGTACCTAACGGAAAACGATGTTATACATATGAGTTTTATTAATCTCCTTCCACATAAGATAGTTATCTTATGTGGTAGAGAGAAAATAGATGGGTCCCACTATTACAAGAAAAAAAAAAGTGGAGTACAAAAATAGAAATGAGAGAAAATGAGATAAGTTACCTCATGTAAAAGGAAAGTAATATTTCTCTATACATATATATTAAAAATCTGTTTCAATGAATCTGCTAATAATAACATTCTTTTCCCTGTCACCCTATCGGAGTAAGCACAATTTGTTTTCACTGAAATTCATGCAGATTTTTTTTTCCTGTAACTTAATCTATATTCATATTATGACTCTGCCAAATTCAATTTCGGGATCAATGCATATTCTTTCTAAATGATACGACTAACGTACTCTGGCTGCAGCACTATCTAGGAATTTTAATTTGGGGCTGCTGGTTTATATATATATATATATATATAGGGTTTTATTAGTGTTATGTAACATAATGTAAGTGTTGTTTTTAATTTTTACATCAAAAGGGAGAGAGAAAGTGGAATAATGAAAGAGAAAGAAAAACACGTGAACCCCACCTCTTTAATGTGTGTGTAGGAAAGTGAAGTTATATTATGTTAAATGATAAACATAAAACCCATATATATATATATATATATATATATATATCTTTCTTATTATTATGAGTTATTTTTGTTGCGAGAAATAAAACAATTACATGATATTCCTAGTTTCTCTTCTCGGAGTTTCGTGATATTCTCCTAAAACGTTCTCTTCATGATTCTTTTATTCCTTGAAAATATTTTAGGTAAAAAAGAAGGGAAAATCTTAGGAATATAAAAAATATTTGATGCTTTCTTTATTTCGTAATTAAAAAAATTATTAAAAGGATGAATTTCGGAGATTTTGAATTATTCTTATTCTTATTTAGTAATTCAACCCTTATGCATGAAGCCGGGCATCATATGTAAAATTATGTAAAATGACCAAATTTAATCTTTTATATATGCAAAAAATATTATAACAAGTATAATTAAAAGAATTTTTATATTATTGGGAATTAATGGTTGAAGGAGGGAGAATAGTGTATGCCATTGTCTCCTAACTTTGTTATCTTTACTTTAGTCTTTCGCACCTACCAAATAAATTAATTGTTTATAGAATCTTTTTAGTTATGAAAAAAACTTATATAAATGATATAATTTGTATTGTCAGACAAAATTTACGTATACAAAATTAGAAGAAAATGAAAGAAATAAAAACTTGAGAATTTCTTTATATTATTTATATTTGATCTGATCCCCTCATATTAAATTTCGGCGGTCCTGTTAGGAACTATGGTTATCTCTGCACACTAAGAGAAAGTATCATTTACCTAAAATCCAAAAACATTAGCTCACCAGGACACAGCTAGTATGTACATTTCGTCAATGATGAGTTTGACACGAATAAATGCCTACGTATGCAATTATTATAAGATATTATTTGAATATTTGTTATACCCCCACTCATTCATGTACTAATTTTGAGGTAAGATGAAATTAATGCACGTACATGATATTTTTTTATATCTTCATCTTTTGCTTTCACTGCCGTTTGGTAGGAGGAGAAAAAAAAAATTCAAGAAAAATAAGTTGGGGAAAATTATTTGTCTATATTTAATAGGTGGTGAAGTAAAAATATGGTTGAAATTTTTTTTCCCATCATTTGTTTTTTATGTAAAATAGTTGGTGAAGATTATCATTGAAAGGGTGAAATTGTTTTTTCTCATGTAACATACAACATCAGTGAAATTAACTTACTATTTTTGAAAAAAAATTGACTTACCAAACACATTTTAATAACTTATCGAGAAAAACAAAGTTCTCATCATATTTTCAAAAATTATTTTTTTCAGTAAAAGAAATTTCTTCTCTGTCAAATATGCCCGTTGGTACCTCAACTCAAGTCCTTAATTGTTTGGGTATACTAACAACATTACGTAAACCGTTCTTCTTCTTCTTTTTGGATAAATTACGTGTAGTTACTTTGCCAGAAAAGGAATAAGACTTGGCAAAACCTTGAAGTAATTCCATGCAAACCATGATTTACTGAGTTGAGCGCTCCATTTTTTATTTTTATTTTTGGTTGCTTATTTGCACAGAGATACAGTCAACCTTTTTAAATAAAAAAGGAAACCAACAAAGAATAAGAAAACCACTAAAGATTAATACCGCGAAAAATGAAATTTTTTGAGTATTATGGCCTAAATAATAACGACTTCAAGAAACATTAGAGTCATCGTTAGACCAGTGTGCATAAACTCAAAAAGTTTGAATTAGTAAAAGAAATATTCCCTAACAAAAATTCGAATGAAAAAAAGAAAAAAGAAATAATAAACGAAATTCTCTCTAATGAACTCATATTACTCTCCGCTACAAATAAAAAATTACCCGAGGCTCCACCGTAGCTGTCCTACACTAGCAATCTACTAGATCAGCTGCGTGAAATCGGGTCCCACATGTTGGTGGATCAAGTAATCGTCACCGTTGGATACATCAAACATCATATTCTGATGATGATGATGTTGTAGGAACTGTTGCTGCTGGGCCCGCACCATCTCCTTCTGCCTTCGCAGCTCCAGCACTTTCCGGTGCGAGTTCGAGTGCTTCGTCAGCACAAACGTCGGGCTCGCCGCGGGCCTGTACTCGGGCACCAACCGGCCCGACTTATACCTCACGCCACAAGCATTGCACAGCGTCTTTGGGCCCATGGGCCCAGTCCGCCACTGCGGCGTCTTGTCCGTGGCGCAATGCAGACACTTGCGTCCGTCCCCGCCGCTGCCGTCGCCGCCTTCCTTCTTCCTCGGAGCAACCTTTGCCGGTTTTTTCGAGGGGAGCGAAGCCGCAACGGAGGGCGAAGTAGGGGTGGGAATTATGAAGTCAGGATCAGAACAAGACGACGTCGTTGGGGACAGAACGAGTAATCGTGAGGTCCAGTTGCATGGGGGCCCACGGGTTCTCTTGCTTCGGGCCTTAGCTGGAACCGACACTTCGTTGTTGAATATCGGGTTGTTTCGGTTGGGCTCGGAGTGAAACTCACGGGCCTTTGATGCGTCGTCGTGTCGCGCCTTCATTCCTGATATCAACTGCAGCTTCTGCAGGTCCTCGCTTGAAAACGATTCCTCCACAAAATTTGAAAGCCATTCTAGCTCCGCTAGGTCATCATACTGCTTTCAAATTTCAACCACACAAGCAATTAGTTCTACATAACATTATTAATTTTCTTGCAGGATAATGTTATCTTCAGCTAAATATTTCATTTTAAAATTTCGTATTAAATGAAGGAATTATTGCAAGGAAATTAGTTTTTAAACCGGGAAATATGCAAAATTTTGTTGTACTTATACCCACTTTTTTTTTTTTCTTCCTGAAATTCTTGGCAACAGAACAACGGTTTGGAATATAAAAAGGACAAAACTGATTGTGATATATGTTTTTACATGGCTTAGCAATTTTGAAGAAATTTGAAAAAAAAAAAAATAGATAAATATGAAAATGGTATTCACGTTGTTGGAGGGCCTGCACGTTACCCATGGGGTCTTTTTTTTTTATTGAATATTGATATTTTTGTGTGGAAATAATGTAATATATGTAATATACCGGAACGCAGAGGTCACCGGAGAGATTTCCGTCGGAGATATTCCGGCAACCAATATCGGCGACGAGGTTGGGGGAGAAGGAGGAGGAGTTGCAGCTATCAACGGCGGTTACGGTGGAAGAATCGGTGGAGATGCCGGGCACGGAGTCGAAGGTGGTGTCGGTAATGATAGCGTCGTCGTTGGAGAAGTCGAGGAGGTCCTCGACGATGAAGTGGTCGGTAGCGCTGGCGTTATTATTGCTCTTGTTGTCGGAGGGGAATTGTGGGCAAAAGCTGCTCTGGAAAAACTTGGGTGCTTCCATGGCTACGAATATGTAATTAAGAATAATTGATCTTCTGTGTGTTTGGATGTTGAAGCTAAATTTTTAAGGTTCTGGGTGAGGAGGTACAATGAAGAAGAAGAAGATGATGGTGATGATGATGACGAGGGTAGTGAAGAAAATTAGTGAGTGAGAAAGTGTAGGGTATTTATTTGAGGCACAAAGTGTGAGAAGTTGTGGTTTTGAGTGGAGACTGGAGAGAGAGAGAAGGAGAAGTGGGTTTATTTGCGCTTGAAAGGGACAAGTAGACACCTAAATTAGAGGACTTTTTTTAATTTTTTTTTTTTTAAATTTTCTTATCGTTTTCCTTTTTTAAAACGAAGAGGAAAAAAGTCTTCTGACTCAAAAAAAATAAGAGCCTAAAATATAGATGTAGAGGCTTTAATTGAGTTAAAAGAAACAGAAGGAATTTGGGATTGAAGTTACTTTGATGCCCTTTTCCCTTTTCCCTTTTCCTACCACTTTACACTTTGTTTACCAGTTTTCTCCTCGTTGTAATAAAATCTTATATAGTCGGCTATATATACGTGGTAATATTTTGAAGCTTGGTTTATTAATCCAATGTCTTTCAAATTCGAGTAATTTCACCACCTCCAATGTACTCAGCCACTATCCAATTTTGGAGCTAGTGGAATGAAAAATATTGAATCAGAAGTGCATAGTATACACACGCACTTCAATTATTTTGGGCATATGCTTAAGGTACCTACATCTATAGCTTAAGGTAGACACATCTTATGACATCAAAATATGGACACACTTGATGCGGAAAAAAGAAATAGTTGCACGTGGAACGTGATGATGATCAGGCGAGTTGTACGAACTAGAAAAAATGAAATGATGAGGCGATGTACGCACGCAACGTAATCATTTTCTCGTTAATTGGCTCAATTTACCCATCAAGTACCAAAGCTTGCTTTGAATATCAACCTGGGCACTACAAAAGGTTCAAGGGTTAAAAACGTAAACTCATTTTCCATTTCAAATTCCATAGGTAGGTTTTTAAAGTATAGGCATTAATTAAACAGGGGAAAAAAGGGTGATTATGTATTAAATTCAATCCCGAAGGAAGCGATCAAACAGTTTTGTCGCTGAGAGAAGTGCATTAGGCATCAATCGTCGAAGTTTAATGCCCGATTCCTCCTCTGCTTTATTTATTATTTATTTTTTCACATTTGGTTTCTCGGGAGCTGGGCTTTCTTTTTTATCTTATAATACTAATATTAATATTTTTTTAGTACTGGATTATTTAATATTTACTAAGGTTGATTTGAAATAAGTGGTTAGTTACTTAGTTTAATGTTAACATTGGGATTGGGTGTACTAAAGCACGAAGCTGGAGTGATGAAGGGTGAGGATGTAGTACACGTGTGGCGGAATTCAGAGTGCCTTCCAATTCGGTTCTCACTTTTCACCTTGCGTTGACAGCTAACATTTACGAGCGAGTCAGGTGTTAAAATAAATTTGACTTGTAAAGGCTCATTTTAATGGCTCAGATTAAATAAAAAAGGGAAATATTACTCTCCTTTTACATAAGATTACTTTTCTCCTACTCTCTCACTTCGATTTCCGCACCTCACTTTTTTCTTTTTTTTTGTAATGGTGGGACCCACCTATTTTATCTCTACAACATAAGATACTTATCTTATGTTGAAGGAGAATAATAAAACCCAATAAAAAAACAGCTCTCGCAACTCGCAAGTAAAACCAAATACACATGGTAGAAGGCCAAAGCCGCGTGCGTCAAAGAGGGGAAAAAACAAGATAAACACCTATAAGCATGATTAGGGGTGAAAGTGAGTTTTGTTAGGCCGAATTTTACCTCGAAAAGTTCAAGAAAAATTTTAATTTGGCCTAGCCCGAGTCTAGTAGAGTTTAACTGTTAGCTTGTCTTGATCAGTTTATAAAAAAATGGTCTGCCTCGATCTCTTAGCCTAATAATTTTTAACTTTTAAGCAGAAACATAAATCAACTACACTCAAATTTTGTTGCTAAAACAAAAATTACAATTTCAACGTCCCAACAGAATCATGAATCATAACAAAATTCATCACAATCTACATGTAAGTCACTTTCAAAATCAAAATGTTCAAACTAAATAACATATATTTTATCAGATCCAACAAACAAATTTATACTATGTAAATTAAAATAACTATATGAATCCAACAAACACATCATGATGCTTGTAATAGCAAAAAACTTCTCTTCATCTTCTCCCCTACAAAAACAATTCCAAGATTACATAAGTTGGCAAACAATTTATAAATGTAGAAAATAAAAAACAAGAATAAAGAACAAAAAAAAAAGATTAAGAAACAAAAAAATCTTTTAATAGATTCATACAGGCAATCTCACATTCTGAGATGTTGGTTCCTCATACATAAAAAATAAAGTCAAATTTCTATTAAAACAGTTTCAATTGATTAAATTTATACCTTTTGTTTTTTCTTCAAGTCATACCTGTTACGTAGCCAATCTCCGCCGAATATTCTTGGATGCTATCTTCAGCCAAGCTAAAACGATAGGCATCAATAACTCTTCCTCCAGTATTAAATGTTGATTCTGATGGTACTCTAGTGATTGGTACAGATTTTGTGTCACTCTCAAAGATAGTATTAGTGAGTGAATGAACTCTGACTAGACTAAGGGTATATGGGTAAGGCTGAATACCTTTTTTTTTAAAATAAGGGTATTTTTGTCATAACATATTTTTTTCCTATCTATATTTTATCAAAACCCAAACATAGACTTTACCAAAGTTACTTAATTTACCCGGTAAAATTTTTTCCTACCAAATCCACTTTTCAACTATTTCCCCACTAATCTTATTTCTCTATTATTCATAAAAAATTTCCCTCAACCAAACGCCCCCTTACACATTATTCAAAGAAATATATGAATCAATTGAATAATATTTAATAATACAACTTAGGGAGAAGAATAAGTTAATTAACAATATTTTAATCATTTAATCTGATAAATCTCCGTTATCTTAAAAGAAATTTGATTGACTCCTTTGAAATGAAATTATATACATGGAACAATTTTAATCATTAATACATTGTTCTCACTTTCTTTCTTTTATTAGAAGTCAAAGATTTTCAAGATGTCTATTGTTTGAAGAAAAAAAATGTATTTAAAATTTTCAATTATTTTAACTATAGAATGTACCAAACAAGTTCGTTTATGAATATGTTATCACTAAATAAAAAAATATATAAAGTAGTAATTCTTCAACTTCGGGCTGTTTGGATGGGCTTCCAAAAAAAATATTATACATCATTTTATTTTATAAGTGATTTTTATAAAAGTTAAAGCTATTTAAATTTTAAAAAAATTATTTACTTTTTTAAAAAAAAATATTTGACTTTTGACTTCTGCTTTTTTTATAAGCTAAAATTTTTAGCTTCTAAAAAAAGCAGGTTTTTGAAAAATATTTGACTTTTTTCGAGAATTTTTTTTTCTTAAAAAAAATAGTTTTTGCAGAGAGAAAAAACTCATCCAAATAGGTTGTTAGTCTCACACATTTAGAGCTGTCAAAATGGGTTAAAGCCCGCAGGTCAGCCCGCAAAGTATTATATTTGGCCCTAATCCATTAGGGTTTTTTTGTGGTAGGGCCTTCTTTAGCCCTAATCTTCAAAGCTCTGTAATTTAGCAGGGCTGGGTTAGGGTTGACTCGCGGGCCAAACTTTTTCTTTAATCAAAAATAAGTAAAAATTATTGTGAATTTGATGGAGAATATAAGAGAAAGCGAAATACGAAAGAAAGGAAAATAAAGTGTAAAAATAAAATAAAAGAAAGAATAAAATAAGAATAAGTATGAGCAAAAAGTCTTATATAAAAACCTATCTTAGATGTTTTTTTAAACTTGAAAGTCATGAAAAACAAAGAGTCACATGTTATGAACTATGTGAAAGGTCATTCATAATCCATGAAAGGTAATCCATAATCAATGTGAAATGTCATCAATAATCCATGTAAAAGGTCATCAATAATCCTTGTGAAAGGTCATCCACAATATTTTATAATATCCGTTTGGATGTATTCTACAATTCAACACACCATTAGAGTGATGATTATAGAATATATCAAAGGTCATGAAAACCTAAGAGTCACATGTTATGAACCACATGAAAGTTCATCAATAATATTTTACAACAAAAATGAATTTTTCAGCAGTGATATGTTTTAACAAATATTTTCATCTACGCATCAATAAAAATAAAATTTTCTATTGACATCTAAGCATGTTATACATCCAAATTTATATTGAAACATATCGTATACAATGCACTTTAGTAATTTTGTGGATAATAATAACTAACTTTTTTTTGTAACGGTAGTAGTTAAAGAAAATCAATTATTTTACTTTCAAATATGTAACATACTAAGAGCGATTATTCAATACTAGTATTAAAATAATTTTTCTATCATTACTTTTAGTTTTCCACTATAATTGTTGTATTCTGTTATGACTCCCGGTGAAAAAAAATTTATTTGATGGCATCATTTAATAATGAATTTAGTAAAAGTAGTAACTATATTTTCACTTATATTAAAATTTTGTTTACATTTTCACTTGTATATTTATGTACAAATCTTATTTTATTAAAAAATTAAATTATAAAAATTTATAATTTGTATAAAATATGTTAAGAAAGTGTTAAAAATTTATTTGTTAAAATATTTTTTAATGTATTGAATATGATAAAAAATTTGTGAAATTATAATTTTGGATGGCACGTGGGTTGACCCTAACCAATAGGGCTTTTGGCCCGTGCGGACCTTGATTATTGATGTTCATTTGGCCCTGTGGGCTTTTTAGCTCTAACCCACATAGGCTAGGGCCAAATGGGACGGGCTGACCCATTTTGACAGATCTACACACATTTATAACATACATAACATTCTAATTTTAGTATAATATTTAATATATAATTCTAATTATACACATATTTGTTGTAACGTCCCAACTATAG